CCTAAAATGTCTCTAGGAAAAAAGTTCATATTAGTTTAATACTAGTAAGTTGATGTTTTTTTGTGTTGCCATGGCAACGGGTTTCTAGCAGGCTAGTTTTTTTTTAGAAGTAATTTTGGTTTAAACATAAAAATTTTCTGAGTTTTATATTAAATTACACTTCTTTTCCAACATTCATAACATCTTACATAATTAAATATAAGTGAAATCATTTAATATGCATAGAATATGCTAATTTGATGACGTCATTGGTCAAAATCCAATATGGCAGACTATATTATTAGCTCTGACGTCATATGACGTCATAATTACACCAAAGTTATTAAAATTTAATTCTATTACTACACCATGCATTCTCTGAAAACTTGGTAGACATACGATGAGTGCATAGAAACATATAAAAACGGAAATAAGGTAATGTATAAGAACGCCAGTGTATCTATTATGATCGAAAGCCGGCTGGGGTCCGCGCGGACCCCAAAAGAAAATCAGATATAATTTTTTTTATAAATGGTAGAAACGGAGTTTTTCTGCACTGTATTGATAGACAACTTTGTGGGTGACAATTACCTAAAATTTCAGAAAAAAATCTTTAGAAACAAAAAAGATATTACAGAATATATAGTGCTGGGGTCCGCGCGGACCCCAGGTGTACTGTTTAGGGTTAATGCCGCCACCAACACAGGGACAGTACAATACTCATTTACACCTGAGCGAAGTGAGGAAAGTCGTGTCAAGTGCCTTTCCCAAGGGCACAAGATCGGTGGCATGTCAGGACTCGAACCCTGGGCCTCTGGTTCCGAGTCGAGCACTCTGCCGCTACGCCACACGACCCCACAATGTCTTGTTAGCGATAGTTAAATGTGACAAGTGACATAATTTGTCAAAAGCTAATTTCTTTCTTTCTTTATGCTTCACGCGATGAAAAAACGTACTAAATATACTGATTATATTAGCACACTATTACTTAGTAGCTATCTGAGGCTATACATACATTGTACGTTGCTTCCCTCTACTTATATGAAGTTCAACGTGACTTTAGACTAACCCAATGAAGTTAAAATGAGATCCCCTTTTTAACGAAGTAAATACACCTGAGACAAGATAATGTCCCTTTCCTTCTGCATGCTAACGATAGACAATGGGCACGCCAACAATGAAGATATTTAGAAAACGATGCTACACGAAAGCCTCGGTCACAACCCGCCGTACGTGCTTTTTCTCCGTACGTTTTTTGGGAGGCTACGTCTGCTACGTTTTTTTTCTGAAAACGTGGGGAAGGAGTGGCGTCTACGCACGTCACTCGCACGTCACTCGCACGGTTGCGCAAGGTGTAAGAGTGGGGTCTGCACGCCAAGTCTGGCCGTGAGCGGTTGCGTGCATCGTACGTTGCGCAAGTGGTAAGTGAGTTGTACGTGCTTACAACGTACGATCTCTGTGCGATTGCAACTTTACCGTAAGGAGGCCGTACTCACACGTGCTTCTTCCGCACGACACGTACGACACGTACGTCGCTCGTACTCGCACGCACGGGTGGTGAATCTGCAGACCGCACGCAGAAAAAGTTTTACATGCACTTAAAGTTCTACGGCGTGTCTGCGTGCTCCCAAATCCGTAGGATTCCGTACGGAGGCAGTACTCACCACGCACGGATGCCCTACGTTTTCCCACGTTTTTGCACGTAGACAGCACGCAGAAGCACGTACGGCGGGTTGTGACCGTAGCTTAACGCTGTTCTGCTTTTCGCTGCCTGATGTAGTCTATGTTTTGGTGTGTGTACCTTAGGCTTGAAATGTCCTGTTTGATCTCGGCTAGGTCGTCCTCGCTGACCCCGTCGGTGCTCTGTGCCTGCTTGTACCGGTGGATGTACCGCCGCACCAGCCGCTGCATCACGGACTGCACAGGTAAACAAACAGATAAACAAACAAACAAACAAACATACTACTAAAAATAAAAATAGACTACTACTTACTTTTGACATATTGAAGAAGTAAGCTTTGATTTGACATTACCAACACTGATTACGACATAAAATTAGTACAAATGCACATCATATTTCATGTACATTGTATTCTACATCTAATGATGTAATGTTACATCATTTTTTTCATAATGTCATAATATATTGTTTGAAATATAGCTGATGTTTTCATCATCGTTAAATCGTTCTTGACTAACATATTTTTACTTCTATGGGCATATTAAAGCTCTTTTGGATCACTGTTTTGTTATTTATATTCGGCCATCAGACAATTCATGTTGTCAATTTGTTCAACCATGCAATCAGAGGGTTACTTGGCCGTTACAAGTACCTGATAGATCTGGTCCGTACTGGGCCCCTGTTCAGGAGGCCTCGCTTTCTCACAGTCCGGTGCCTGCTGCAAAAATATTGGGATTAGGAGACATTTGTTAAACATTGCCGGTTAGGATAGCAGAAATAGGTAAAACGTCACGCAGATATTTTTGAGAGAAGGGTCTAGAAATAAGCTTTGTAAGAGATCTTAACGTCCTACACCGAAACAACTTCAAGTAGAAGTAACTGAATATTTTGCTATTAGTAAAATTAATATTGCACTCATACCTGCATTTCTAAGCTTTCCAGTGACATTCCCTGAAAGACAATGTACCTTTTGCATGAAAACCATGAATTGATCATTCTTAACGTGGCTTGCTAATAGTATGTTCCTTATCTCATACCTAAGACTAGAAATATAAGAAACTGAGTTATATTAGTAACTGTCCTTCATTTCATCAACAACAGCAGCTTAACAACAGCATGTAACTATAAAAGATCATCTACATTCAATTCAAGTTAGGCCATGTTGATTTGATTATATGGATGACATCCTCCGGGAGCCCCAAAACTGATGCGCGCGTGCGAATAAAAAAAAGTTTTGCAAAAAAAAAAAGTTGTTTTCATTATGAAATCTACGTGGTCATGAGGGTTGAGCAAATGGCACAGAATATGGTTTGGCGAATAATCTAGTCTTCAAGTTCATTTCTTCACAATTTCGTCTTTTTTCGTTTGATTTTGGCATTCTACGACATCGGTATAGTTTTTATTAATTTTTTTGTAACTTATGGTATATTTTGGCTCATTTTGCAACTGTTTTGTACGATTTACAGTATGGTTGAAAACTTTTTTTTGGAAACGGCCGAAAATTCATGCGCGCGCGGATGTCATCCATATAATCAAATCAACATGGCCTTACTTAAGATGAAAGGTAAAACATTTATGACCAGTACAAGGAAGCCCTTTAGCTTAAGACAGTGGTTTACGCACCTGATTGACTTGCCCTTTACATGACGAGCTAATGGTGTATGGCCTTGGTACCTGTATGGATCCAAAAAAGGGGGAAAAATTAGTCAATGAGTAATCAGTCGCAAACTGACAAAGATCAATCTCATCATCATCATCATCATCATCATGCCTCCAGATTAGTTTATACTAATCCGGTGAGGTACACTTGATAAAGTTACTCCAGTATGTCCTATCTCTCATAGCGGACACTAATGCAGGCCCTGCGAGACCAGTGTCTCTCTCTAGCATGGACAACAGTGTAGTATAAGGACGTCCCACTCTACGTCTCCCAGTAGGAAGCCACAGTACTAGTCTACCAGCTGGTTCGTTACTACGAACAACATGCCCTGCCAGGGCGAGCCTACGTAATCAATCTATATCTGTATAATAAGCAACCTATCATATCCGTTTAACGTGCAACACACCAACTGCAATGTGTATCCATAACCGTTGTGATAGGTAAAAATCTAGTGCTGTTACCGAATTGATAACATTGAAGGAAAACAAACAAACAAACAAACAAACAAACAAACAAGCAAACAACAATCAGGAAAACAAGATCGAAACAAGATCCCCCAAACCTCTTCCGATTCAGCAGGCGGGTCTGTGCTGGTGTCTGCCGGGTGCTGCTGAGCGGCTCCTGCGGGGGGAGGAGGGGGCCCATCCCGCCGGGAACTCAGGCTCCTCCTGATGGTCTGCATGCGGTCCTGCCACTCCGGCCACTTCTGCCGCACGGCCTGAAGTACAGAAGACGGTGCCATATAAGAAATGTAATAAGATAGTTTAGTTTTGTAGTATTGTTGTATTACTGCCACAGATAGTAGTTTGTAGTAAGAAATGTAATAAGATAGTTTAGTTTTGTAGTATTGTTGTATTACTGCCACACATTGTACCACGTACGATTGTCGAGCGATAAAGTTCATTCATTCATTCCTATATATTCTTAGGTTCCGCAAAACGGGGCCCTATCGCGTAGTTTACGGGCTATACGGTTGGCTGCCGGGCTATTTGGGGCTCAAGTGCGGGAAAGAGTGGAAGGTATTCCACATCGTTACCCGTTTTCATATCTGCTTATTGCAAGAGCCACCTATCAGACCTATCACGTATGCAGTCCTCTAAGGCCACACCAAGTAAATTTTATGGATGACGTCCGCGCGCGCATTGATTTTGGCCTGTTCCTAGAAAAAAAAACAAGAAATTCCACTTCCTGTAACTATGACCAAAGAGTCACGACGGTGCCGCAAATCGTCAGATTGATGTGAAACCCGTAACGCCGAAAGCCTGTGCCTGGTTAAAAAATGGAAACAAAAATTGAAAAAAAAAAAAAACAAGAAAAAAAATGGCACTGAAAAAAATCCTGTCAATAGCTCCAAAACAGTGTCGTTTTTGGAACTATTAACAGACAGGACGGTCCTGTCAGCAGTGCAATATTTCTTATCTAGGCAACTTGTTTTTTAGGGCCCTTCTTGTTTTTTTTTCGCCCTCTCGCATTAGATTTAGGGTCTCCAAAGGACGTCATCCATAAAATTTACTTGGTGTGGCCTAATGAAAAGTACTAGTAATGGGATGTATAGCAAAGGTCTAATAGCAAAGGTCTAATGGTCTTGTGTTAGTGCACGTGCAAATTGAACTTCCTTGTGCGTTTCCTCGATTTGCACAGAAATCACTGCCATTAGAAAGGCTCTGTTGGGCAAATGGCCCGATTGCATTTCCGACCACTCTCCCTACTGAATTCGGATATTACAAATGCATGTAGGTACAGCATTTTCGTGATTGCACCCTGAGCTTCCATTTCCCTGGTCTGGGTGGCACAAATTCTATATGGATCCCCTATCAACTTTTTATCCCCAAACAGACACACTGGTATACTACCGGTCCAAGTGGTCTGCAATGTGTACTCCATTGGCCAACTATAGCTAACTCCTTTGGCATACTAGACCATTTTTTTTATAGCAACATAAAAATGTGTTTCCTACCTTGATGAAATAGTACATAGATTTGGGAGTGATGATGATGTTGTACGGCGGTGGGAGGGTCGAGCCCTCGTCGAAGTACCCCAGCCACAGCTTGGTTCTGGCAAACTTCCACTCCAAATCCGCATGGTTCTGTAAGGAAAATTACAATTTATAGAGTATTCCGTAGAATTGCATGGAATTCTCAGCAACAATACGGGGGGCGATACCGACTTTGTACCAACCATCTTTGCTCGTGTCACACTTCTTGAAGACCACATGATATGTGCAATCGGTCCCACCGTTATCTACCTCTCCCAGGCTTCTTTCTTTCTTTCTTTCTTTCTTGGCAAAGACAACAGGTTAAGACACAGGTTATCATGGCAGTGTTAACTGGTATTAGATAACCCACATATACAAACGTGCAGACGAACATAAAATAAGAAATCTACTATAAATACAAGACCTGAAATAAAGATCTCTCCCAGGCTTGGAAAGCGGCTGGATAGTGTAGAAATTGGACAAATAGACAGATAACATGCCATGTACATTTGCCTCACCCCTTAGAGCACCAACTCCAGTCTGGCATGTTATCTGCCTATTTGGCAAATTTCTACTTTTCCCTGCCACTTCCGAAGCCTGGAAGAGGCTAGCATTTATCATGGTGGGACAAGAGAACTGGTCTGAACTGGTAACAATGTGAACTCCTCTATAATAATCGATGTTAGGCCACAGCAAGTAATTTTTATGGATGACATCCGCGCGCGCATTGATTTTCGCCTGATTTTGGGAAAAAAAAAGAAATTTTGTTACCCTTTGACGGTGGTCAACATTCCGAAAATGGACAAAATGACATGCCTTGCCATGCTGGAACGTGTATGGCAGATAAATATAAAGAGAGGAGACAAGACAAGGCTCTGATTTATTGTTTTGACTGTTACTTTAATGCGGTGATGTATTTTATTCCTTTTATATGTTCCCACGGAATCAAAACCATTTGTACAATGATTGAAAACTTTCCCTATTCAAAGTTGTTTCAGTGACAAATGGATGTTGTGACAGGTGGCAGTAAAGTTAGCACTATATAGCTATCGTTTCTTGTTTAACAGGGTTCATGATGTCAAAATTTCAAAATATAGGAATCTTGTTTTATTGGGCCCGCCTTGTTTTTTTTCGCCCTCTCGCATTAGATTTGAAATCTGCGGAGGATGTCATCCAAAAAATTTACTTACTGTGGCCTTACCTCTACTTCTTGGAAGGAGGTGGACATCATAGCGATGAGCATGTTGAGCAGCATGATGATGGCGGCGATGTGGTAGGCGCCGAGCAGCAGCGAGCCGACAGAGATGACGAAGCGGTGCCCCTCCTTCAGCTCCAGGGTGGTGAGGGGCGTCAGGCCGAACAGAGACCAGAACAGCGCTTGGAACGACGAGCCTAGGCTGTGAGAAAAAGTATAGATCATTGAGGATGATTGTTGGAATTTTCTAGTAAGGTCAGAATAGTTTGAGGAAACCAATTTCTTACAAATAAGGCCATGTTGATTTGATTATATGCATGACATCCGCGCGCGCATGAATTTTCTGCCGTTTCCAAAAAAAAAGGTTTTCAGCCAAACTGTAAATCATACAAAACAGTTGCAAAATACCAAACGTTTTTATTTGCACGCTCGCATCGGTTTTTGTGGTTTCCAGAGGATCCATATGATCAAATAAACATGGCCTAATGAAAACCAAAAAGGAAAGGAACTAATGGTGGAAAACAATCAAATCATTTGCAGCTTGATAAACTTGTCAGTGCTAATTGTCAGGCGCTACTTCTCTCCGCTAGGTGGCGCTGTGGTAAGAATAATGTGGTTCCAAACGTGGCTGCCTGTAACCCCCCTCGTCCCGTTGCAAAGTTTGTAAAAGTATTCCAGTATCGTCGACGAAGGTTAGACATTCAGGTAATACGATACGCCAAAAAGCAGTTACTCAAGCAACTGGATATGATTTTGGAAACGTATGATCCAGTTGCTTGAGTAACTGCTTTTTTGGCGTATTCCAGCATCCTATAAACCACCAGCCCAAAGAAAATATTCACAAAAAAAGTGAGTGAAAAGGCCCATGAAAAAAGCCCAATGGCAACAATGTAGAATAATAAGCAAAATGTACGTTAGAAATTCCGTTGGGTTTTTCTGACAGGCGTCCCCCTCGCTCAGGCACTCTTCCGTGTCGGCGTAGAAACCGTACAGCTGGTTGAGACCGAAGGCGAAGGACATCAGCACCAGGAAGAACACCGACAGGAACTTGCCGATATCGATCAGCATGCAGCCTAGGGAGATCTGCAGCGGCCCAAGATGGGGGTTGGCTGGAAGAGAAAAAAATCCATCGGGAGATCCGGAACCGACAAAATATATTCACGAACGCTTGTCACTGAAAAGTGTTTTTCACCCAAAATCTGACAGGAAAAGGGCACCATTTTAGAAATTCTGCATTTTGATTTCACGACTTTTGCGTATTGCTAATAGTTTCATAAGTTCTTACATGTTCTTTAGGCGAGTGACAAAACCGTAATTTGCATACTCATGGTGCCTACACGGACACACAAACCATTGCTGTGTTAACAGACGGGGGGCGCTATAAACTTTCTGCAACTTATCATCCTCTGCTCACTGAGCCAGGTGTGCTATTTGCAAACACCAACGTTGTAGAAGCGGCGGAGTTCTTATTCATTGACCAAGACCGATTTTTAGTCGAAAATTTGGACTTCTTATTATGGAAACTATGTACAAAAAAATCAGTGTATGAACACAAATGAACCTCCTTGCTAATCTTCTAGGTGTACGTACCTTGAAACAGGTATATTATTCGAAAGAAGCTGAAGACATTGGCAACAGAAAACAGTCCTTCTGAGATCAGGGTGGGGTCATCAGGTGGCCAGAAACTGCGTTCTAAGTCCTTGGGACCAGCCGTGCCTACAATGAAGAAGAACTTTATTGCACGAGAATTGTATGGCAAATAGGTAACAATAAGTAGCATAGTAAAATAGATAGGTATAGAATAAAACTTAACAATTTATATATAGAAAAGAAATAATCAAAAGTTAGCTCAGGCTTTACAATCAGGCGGAGTTATTTATGGGTACATGTGACTGTAGCAAATCAGTATTCTTTCTAAAAACATAACAGTCTTTTATGTATCTACCTATTTTTGCATTGTGTGGGCTGTTGCATTTATATATATAGTCAAATCTATCTGTAGCAACAAGTCTATTGAAATCTACATGAATGGACCCAACCAGAGACTTGAATACGTCGATGTACATGATGTACATGTTTATGATACGTGTATTCCTATGAACATCTCCATCGTGCATGTAGGTTGGTCGACTTTTTAAGATGAATAATTTTTCTATTTTCATGTATTGAAAGATACTTTTCTTGTTTTTGGCTAAATGTACTTACTTTAGGGGGGCATGAAATCACCAAAAAGGTAATGCCCCATTTCAAGGGTAATTAGCATGGTAACAGAACATCCTGGAGGGACAAGTCTGCAGCCGCCATGCATCTGATGCTTGCGGTTGATTGATTGATTGATTGATTGAAATAAATCTGACTACTAGGAAGCCTTATATTTATGACTTTCGTATTTTTGACTAATTATCAGTTTGTTCTTTAGCACATTTTTCTATTTGCATACCTACGTGTGCCTTACCAACTCTCCAATACATTTGTATTATGGCAAAAATAACGTCGATTTAGTATAACCTATGAATTACTATTTTAGCTTTGTCTTTTCCTAATAGTAGTATTCGAACCTGACGTGATGCGGACATAGGCGACCAGGCGGAGGGATATTGTTGCGAGGTAGAGTGAATTCATCATGAAGTCCATCCAATTCCACCACTCTCGCACGTAAGAATGTAGTCCCTCCTCCCACAGCTGCTTGCATTCATTCCACACCATACCTGCGAGAAAGATGGATGAAGAACATGGATCCGCAGGTCTGTATCTGTATCGGTATACATAGCCGGTATAACCGCCCTTCGGCGTAACACACCAGCTTCGCAGTCACGCGGCGCGGCGGCAGCTAGCTATATCACACAGAACGGCTTGTTACACTCAATCTTTGCACATTTGATTGCAAGAGTTGTTTAAAGCTTTCTAGTGATGATGCCCCAACTGTGCTTGGTGGCAACGAGTTCCACTCTACGATATTTCTGGGGAAATACGAGTTTTTGAATACCTCAATTCTTGATTGATAACTCTGATATTTGAAGGCATGACTGTTTCTTGTTCTTTTCTGGGCTGGTATCAGATACTTAGTGGTTGGTACGTCCACCAGTTTATTAGTCATTTTGTACATCATGCACAGTCTGGACATTCTACGTCTGTCTTCCAGCGACCCCCACTGTAGGTTTCACCAGGTACCACGGTTGATGATGTGAGTGTAAATAAAACTAGAGTTCCACGATCTCATACCCTCGCCAAAATAAGAACTTTCACGACTGACAACTTGTCAATGTTAACGTTTCTCATTGATTATGCAAATAAGATCATGAATTAAATCAGTTGTTCATATTCTCCGCCCAATGAAAGTCTTATCTTAACAAAGAGGGCTATTCTATCATTTCCTTTGATATGAATTATGCAAATGATGATGATTTGATTACCTTATGTTAAATGATGTACACCTTCACGTAACTTCCAAATGCTGCAAGCATGTAATTACGACAGTTACCATTTTCTCATTACTTATGTAAATTAGGTCTATCTACATATGATAAAAGCGGGGGGTCTGGGCGAGTCCCCAAATAGCCCGGCAGCCGCCGAGAGACCCACTGGGCCCTGGTGGGACATCAGTTTCAAAATAAGACTACATCATGACCGCAGTCGAGTTCAGAGCCCGACCGAGATCGACTACACTGCCTACGGGCCCACTTTGCAATGATGTGTTATACACTACGCATCATCTATGTTAGGCCACAGCGATTTAATTTTATGGATGACATCCGCGCGCGCATTGATTTACGCCTGTTCTCAAAAAAAAAAAAAGATCACGTCCTACGAGGCTCTGGCCTGGCTCTATAGGCCTTGGTAGTCCATGGTAGCTAGCGACAATACGGAGATATATCGATTGTAACTCTGGAGGATGGCACTCAGGCTACCGAAGCTCCACGACACAAGAAATGAGTACATACGTACAGTGCCGATTCATAAATGATATTCCGCAAAAAGCCAGCATGTGCCGGCTTGTCGTATACGTCACTATGTACTGCCGCAAATTCACAATACCAGCTTTGTATTCCTGTGATTTAGTATCATTTTTATTTTTGGCCGGAATTTTTTTTATTCGCCCGCGCGCACTAGTTTGTGGGTCTCGGAGGATGTCATCCATAAAATTAACTCGGGGTGGCCTTACCTGCTACGTAGAAGACGATGAGGACTTCCACGGTGGATGGCGGCGGGCCGCGCCTGTTGGTCATGTTCTCTTCCCGGGGGGAGGCCATGGTCAGCAGGATCAGGAACACCGCGAACGAACCGGACTGGCTGCAGAAACGGTCAAAATGATTCAAACACCAGGAAGGATAGTCTATTTCTGCCACATCTTCCTAAGGTCACGCCAATCTTAAATTTCTAGGTTCTCGGATTTGTCCGCCTATGTTTTTTATTTGATGAAAAGCAACATATCGACAATTCCGTGCAAATTTCAACCCCCAAATGCTCAGCATTTCAAAGAAGTCTTCCAAAAGGCCTCGTGCTTTTGGCGATTTAGTATAAACCATGAATCGCCATTTTAGCTTTGTTCATGCACTAAAAGTTTCTTCACAACAGACGGACCTATCACAGAATGCTTGCTTTTATTTCAAATCGTATTTTGCCCACTCGCTTTATTAGTTTACTGAAAATACGAGAACCAAGAAATTATATTTGCTCAGCCTAACTAAGAGAAAGCTTAAAAAGAAAAGCTGACTGTTCTTTAATCATCAATGAAAGGAGCAGACAGATGGATGCCTAGATCTAACTGCTTGATGAAGATACTGGACACATATACATGGGAGAATATTAAGTTTCCTACCTGAGAAATTTTATGATGGGGGATCGTATGAAGCGCCTGATCTTACTGCAAGATTATAAAGAAGGGAAAAAGTACGGTAAACCCATCAGGACATCCCTCAATAACATGAGATCATTTTCAAGCAGTTGTGTGGTTATCACTTTTACGTCTCTCCTGCTTTATGGGGGTTAGTTTGTGTTCATTTCGTTTTTTCCGATAAGGCCACAGCAAGTAAATTTTATGGATGAAATCAACGCGCGCATTGATTTTTGCCTGATTTTGGAAAAAAAACAACAAGAAATTTTGTTGCCTTCTGACAGTAGTCACCATGCCGAAAATGGGCAAAGATGCCTGTTGCCATGCCCATACGTGGATGACAGATAACTATAAAGAGAGGAGACAAAAAATTTCTGATTTAATGTTTTATTTCTTACTTTGATGCAGTGATATGTATGTGATATTGGCTGTGTATGTTCCTACTGAATCAAAACCATTTGTACAATGATTGAGTCAAAATTCTAAAATGTAGGAACCTTGTTTTTTTCGGCCCGCCTTGTTTTTTTCGCCCGCTCGCATTAGATTTGGAGTCTGTTCGGAGGATGCCATCCTTAAAATTTACTTGCTCTGGCCTAAAACAGATGTACCACATCACATCGAGCCTAAACCACTAGCCTAAAATCCAGCCTTGTTAGGTATAGGACTGCTCCCCCAAAATTGCTTCCAATTGTTGGCGGGGAGCCAATTTTTGGAAACGGACCTATAGCTAATCAGGCCAGACTTCAGGCTACCAAACCACAAAGCTGCTTGAAGGCTATGAATTGTAACGGCTGCACTACCAAAAATGCTTTTCTTGTTTTCCTTGTACACAGAAATGGTATCTTGTAGCAAGAAAATTATTCTTTAAACAAGAAATTAAAGATCCCCGTAGCAAGAAAATTCAAGAAACACGTGTGTTTCTTGCTGTAGCAAGAAAAGGATTCTGTCAACAAGAAAATATTTCTTGAACTAAGAGCTAACTATTCTTGAAGCAAGAAAATCACTCTGTACAGAAGAAAAAATGAAAAAATACTGTAAACTTTGTTAAAATTCTAAAAATTCTTAAGATTCGTGCTGGTGAGCATGATAGTAGAAATATTTTCTTTTCTTAAGAAAAAAGATGAATAAAATTCTTTGTGTAAGAATCAACATACAAAATCTTTGAAGAATGTTTCTTGAATTGTCTTGAAAATCCCCCTGTCAAAAAAATATTTCTCAACATAAGAAAATAAGAAAAAACATTTTTGGTAGCGGTAGCATCATCGGTGGCCTAGCCTCACCGATGATGATGGCTAAGAGCCGTCTGTTGGGATGTCCTGGTCAGAATACCGTACAAGAGAAGAAGCATTGCATGGGAAAATGACACTGGAGCTACAAGCATGTCGACTACATCATGATAGAATTTCTAACGCGGACTACTTCATGGTAAAATAGGGGAGACCCTACAGACTACAGTATACTAAAAATTGGCCCATAGAAACAGAACAAGGTCAATATATTTTTTTAAATTTTGTTGTGAATGCTCAGATTGTTCAGTTGCTCGCTTGATTTTGTGTATAGAGATCTTTATTATTTTTATCATTTTTAAAACATGTTTTGCCAATATTGCACCAGCTGTAACATGTACCGTTCCATAGCAACGCGGTAATTCCTATATTATGTCTCTGTCTTCTCTCCTTTAGCATATGGTGGATGCTTGGTGGATGACCAGGAATACATATATACACATTTTACGTTTGGGGATGCATCTATAGTAGCGACACCTGTGCTGTGAAATTTGAACCAGTCAGAATTGCCCTGAGGAAGGTGACAAACGGTCACTAAAACGACGGCCGAATAAAACACTTGGATGTTCAAAAGTAGTCTCCTAATTCGGAAGACCATGAGTTTTTGAGACTAATAGGAAGAAGTAACTATTTAACTCATACATAGCCTACAAAACATTCTCCTCCTTACCAATTATTGATCCATTCCCACCCATTTGCTGTTCTCTGTCGTTTTTTGTCATGTATTTTGTCACTGTATATACTTGTATGTTTGGTGGTGAGGTTAAAATTAGCTACAGCTAGAGTGCCTCACCACCATGTCCTGTATTATGAAAAACTTAAACTTTTCTCCAACTCAAAATTTGACTCACCAGAAATTTTCGACTGAATCACTCAGTCTTCCTCAGCTACCTGACCCAAATGCTGTGGACACGTGATTTTCCCACGTGTGACGTCAGCAAAGGGTCAAAGGTTTTCTGAAGTCGATATCGCCCCCCGTCCCGGTTGAGCGATGGTTGAAGTGCCCTGATGTATACGGCCTCTCTTGAGTCTTGTCTTTTATGCCTCTCTTGAGGCTAAGTTTTTCATAATGTAATTTACCAACTCAGATGAACTTTCATGCTGATGTCCTGTATTATCCATGTTGAATTGCTAATAAAAGAATATAATAATAGGAAGAAGAAGGTTTTACCTGAGGAACTTCATGAAAGGGTTCCTCATGAAGCGGCCGACCTTACTGCGCGGGTGCAGGATGTAGTAGAACGCCATGAAGGGCAGCAGGCTGATGAGGGACATCAGGATGAACACCTTGGTGAAGATGTTCCGCTTGCGCCACCCCGGCAGGCTCTCGTACCAGATGGTGGTCAGCAGCTGCTGGCAGTGCGGATGTGACACGAACTGCAGGGGAAAGAATCTGAATCTCGTAACCGGTAAACCGAGCGTACGTATGGCATATGCATTGTTTCGTAAAGATATACGATGCAATTTCATGGCAGTAAACTGGATTCAGGGCGGCAGACTAGACTCTCAAATTCATTTTTCCGGCCATACTTTTAATGTAGTAAGTTGAGTCAACCCTATCCCACTGCATATCTGTGATAAAGTTGCTGATGGAAAATGTTGTTTGTTGAAACAAACAGGAGCGAGTAGAAATGGGAAAACCTCTGACTCCCGGGACGCCGGGAATCAAACCCGGGCAGCCAGCTTACGACACCAGCGCGTTAACGTCTAGTCCAAAAGATCCGGACCCATTGGAATGGATGAGTTAGTGGCGCTTGAACCCCACTGTGCTTGCTTTACCTGTTTCTGTTCATACTTCAGCGCGAGTTTCAGCCTGTTCAGGGAGAGTTTTTCTTCATCTTCGTCATCCTGTGCACCTTCCTCCTCCTCCTCCTCGTCACTGTCATCGTCTTCACAAGCCTGTGGTACAAAGAAACAAAACTTTGTCGTAGCTCAGCCAACGAGCACCTATTCTGTGTCACATTTATCGTAGGTCTTCGTACGACTTTGATGTCCCAGCAGTTTCATGACGCCTAAGACTGTGACAGAAACAACATTGGACAAGGCTCTAAGAAAGCCTTTACAAGACTGTCTGCCCTCTCTACATCAAATTAGATTTGACGACGAATGTTACCGGGCCCTGACTTGCAGAATGCACAGAAAGTATCTTTTTGGGGGCCGCAAAGACAGTGTCAAATTGACCAGGCAGTATCCATATTATTGGCCACCCTTAGAGCTGGTCGATGAAGATAATGGTGGATGTCTACTGAGAGCTATCAATAAAATGAAATGTTTACATAACAGTTACCTGGTTGAGAACGGCGATAACCTCCTCCGAGCTGCGGCACTGGTCCAGCAGCTGTACGGCATACGTTCGGCACTCCTCTACCAGCTCCTGTACGGGCAGAACACAAGGTGAGTACAGCAAATTTCACCTTAGGCCATACCGATTTAATTTTATGGATGACATTCTCTGAAGACCCCCAAACTAGTGCGCGCGGGCGAATAAAAAAAATTCCGGCCAAAAATAAAAATGCTTCTAAACCACAGGAATACGAAGCTGGTGTAGTGAATTCGTGGCAATACATAGCGAGTTGCGGAGCTTCGACAGTCAGGGTGCTATCCTCCAGAGTTACCACCGGCTCCGTATTGTCGCTAACTACCATGGACTACCCAGGCCTAGAGCCAGGTCAGAGCCTCTGAGGACGTGCTCTTTTTTTTTTTTTTTGAGAACAGTCGAGAATCAAAGCGCGCGTGGATGTCATCCATAAAATTAAGTCAGTGTGGCCTTAAATGTTTTCTATTACAAATCTGCTGCCTTTGTTGCAATAAGCGTACTTCACTTCATGTACCAGATAGTCTATCCAAAATATAGTAAGATGGCAAAATAAAAAAAAAAATGGCAAAACCGGAGGAAGGTTTTGAAAGAGGTATTTGTCGCCTCTACGACTTCACATTCTTCTAATAGCTGGCAAAATCGTAATGAGCACGCCTTTGTAATCACGCCAACTACGCTGGCAAATTACTATTCCCATTTTGCCAACTTTCATTTTATTTGCTGCACGTAGAGCTGTCTGGTTAATCTCCAAGCAGATCCCTCTCGGTGGCAAATTGGCCAGACAGTATCCATTAGCCAGAGAAGCTCCGCGGCCACCGACGGTTGGGGATCAGGACAAAAAAAAACGGCCATATATAAAAAGGTAACGATCATTCCCCCACAACCTCTGCTTGGAGAGTACTGTCTGGTGGAATCTAACAACATGGGTTTTATTTGTGTCCAGTGAACTTAATATGTTGAGGAGCTCTTAATTATGAATGAAAGGTTAGAGGATGGAGTCGGTAAACAAACAAACAAACAAACAGACAAGCTTCTCACCAGATATGGTTCCTTGAACTCGTTCTCGAGCTGTGCGAGGTTGAAGAGCTCCCAGCTGAGGCGGAAGGCGGTGAGGATGGGGTCGGTGGAGGTGAGGGAGATCCAGGCGGGCGAGGCCAGGGCCCGGTACGTGCTGATGCGGTGCAGCGAGTACCGCAGGCTATCAGCCTTGATCCGCTCCGTGCAGCTGTCACATTCGCACGTCAGGTTGTGCGGCTGTGGAAAGATGTGGATTTTTTTTATCTTATTTTATTCACATGGATTTTTGAGCATTGGATAGGAAGCACTTGTTGTGCTTATGTGAATCCGCTGCTCATAAAACATAATACAAATGTAACATAAAGATGACATAAAGTATGACACATACATAAAATGAAAGTGGCTGACGCACCAATACCTATAGCATAACATTAATGAGATTAGTCAAATCTTCCAGAGTGGTGGATAGAGTTAAACACAATATTAAAGATACGGCAGTTAGTAGGGTATGGGAGGGTGGGGCTGCCTGTAAGAAGTACATAATGTGGCGTTGTTTGCGTTGGGTGGGTCGGAAGGAAGTATGTTTTCAAGATGAAGGCAAGATTGTGGATAAAATTTCTGTTAGCTAGCACATAGCAAAATCAACATCATCATCACCGTGGTCTTCATCAGCATAATCTCTCTCTGGACAACACGCACAAATTTGTCTGGATTCTGTTTTAAGAAAGCTACAAATGCCATAATAGTTATATGTAAATATTATAAGATTTCTATCATGTAACGTTATACATACACAGCAGAAAGTACCCAATTCATCTAATAATTAATGTATTTCAGCAATTTCTAGACACATCCTCTGCAATGGAAAACGTCTGTAGGAGAAATTTAACACCCCATAAAGCAGTGGTAAAGGGCTCCGTCCCAGAGGTGTTTCCAAAAAAAAGGATGTATACAACGGTTCCTATTATGCTCCATGTCCTAGGATGAGAAACTACGTCATCAAAATTGCGGCATCCAAACAGGAAGCGACGTTACTTTGTCCACAGTTTCCTCTTCTAGCGTCCTTCATGGATGTCGGTTTGTAACCCAACATGTACATAGGCTGTCAGGTGAGAGAGGGTACCCCGATCATCTGAAGCCAAAATATATCGCCATATCGAATACAGTTGACAACAAGAGTGTACAGTCGTTAAATGGCTACATGTACATTTCGTAGCCAAGGCACAAGGTAAACAACTGCGCTCCCTATAGCTCAATTTTAATTGAAATATGGGCATAGTTTTGGCTTGAGATTATCAGAGACACTCGGACACACGACAAGCTATGTTAGTCTGCACACCGTCCTCCCTGAAGGACGATAGAAGACAACTGTGGGCAACCTTTCACTGCGAAAGCTTTATTTATTTATGACGATTCACCACATTTGTGGAAGGATTGACATAACAGGTGACTATCACCTTTTCAAAGATGTCAACCCCGAGACCAGACTGTAAGGTTTGAACCACTCACACCGGGAAGGTCCCCTACTCTTTTCGGTAAGTGCGTGGGGTGTGGCTCTCCCAAACACGGGACCTCCATTTAACGTCCTATCCGAGGGACGTGCCTAGCCGAAGCTAGGTACTCATTTTCACCTGAGTGAAGTGAGGAAAGTCGTGTAAAGTACCTTTCCCAAGGGTACAACATCGGGGCGCAAGTTCGGACTTGTTCGGGTACGACCCGGAATCGAACCCGGGTCTCCCCGTTTCATAGTCCAGTGATGTACCACTACACCACACATAGTTACACGACGCCACAGCTTGTCAGACTGCCGCCATTTTGATGAGTCAGACGCGTATTTGTTCACCTTGTGCATAGTGCGTACAGTACCTTAGAGATGTTGGCGCCCTGTGACAGCAGCAGCTGCAGGATCTCGAACTGGTTGAGCTGCGCGGCCAGGATAACGGGGGAGATGTCCGGGGAGTAGTCGAAACACTCCTCCCCAGGGTCGATCGTGTTACACCACTCCTCACCGAGCATGTTCGGCGTGATGCTGCGGACACAGAAAAGATAAAGGTAGTCCCATAGCCATTTTGAGGTAGTCTCCATCAGACTTCTTTTGCGGGGTGAATAATTCGTAGAAATCGGCCTAAAAAGGGTTTTCATTGGCCACAGAAGATAGCCGGCCAGAGAAGCTCCATTGCCCCGCCAAGACAGTGCTAAGCCACTGTCCTTGTTCGGTAGATGAGGGGATTACTTTTATGCCTTTTCATCGTAGCGACATATCACCGACTTCTTGGCGGGGCAATGAAGCTTCTCTGGCCGGCTACCTTCTTTGGCCAATTAATACCCTTTTTAGGCCAATTTCTACGATTTATTCACCCCGCAAAAGAAGTCTGGTGGAGACTAATTTTGAGGCCACAGGGGCAGTGGGTTGTTCATCCACTGTGTTTATGGCGTGGTAACTCTGCCCTGGTACAAAATGTAATCCAACACCACAGGGTGTCTGCTACAGCTCCAGTTACCATGGTGACAGACAAACTTTATTTGTTTGGAGAAGAAGACACAAAAACACTATGTATTTCTTCTCCGGAGGTAAACTTGATAAAATATATTGACATCTTCATTAAAAATGAATTTGCCTAACATTTTTTTTTACATTTGAGGTAACCAGACCGAGTGTTATATGGAAGGGTTTGTGTTTAGAGACGTATTTGCACGTACGTACGTACATACATACGTATACATGCACGTACAGACGCCTATAAATATTCCCTTTTCCCCCGTACGACCCCACAATGGAACGCCTTGCCTGGCCCAGTAGTCATGGCTCCCACCGTTGAGTCCTTCCGGGCCAGGCTGGAGACCTGCCCGCCTTAGACCCAAGCCCCCCCCCCCCCCTAAACGTGCCCCAATAGGGGGTGTAGCCGGGGCTCATACAACATCTGAGAGCCCGGGCAAAGATGAAGATGAAGTATTTCTCCTCACCTGGGATGGTTGACCATCATCTCCACAATGCGGTACACACCCTCCCGGATGGCGTACAGCAGCGCGTTACCGATCTTTATGTCAGGCTGAAATGGACAAATTTTCATCAGTTCAACTAACAAGTCGTATCGTAAGACTATGACAAAAACTTGACACGGTAGCTTCGAAGCAAAACTTGATTCTGGATACATTATGAACATTCTATTTATATCGAAGTCTTCGTGTGCTCACGTAGCATTTATCGGCATCTACCAAACTAGAACATAATTCGCTTTACATAGCCCTATCAGCAATTACTTTTTCTAAGCTACCATATTCGATTCCAGTGTCTCAGTGTCAGTAAAATGTAAAAGTCAAACTCCTGTAATGCACACCGTCACTTGGGTTGTACAGGAGTTCAGATGAAACTATTTCTTGCTTGTCTCGACAGCAATACCCCGAAACAGAACAATACGCAGACACAAAACAAGACTATTTCCTAAGAGGGGTGAAAGAGGCTATTTACATCAGGGCCCACCACCAACTGCGACGGGGGCCGACATCGTCTACCAGATACCTTTGACCCAGTGTTGACGTCACATAAGAAGCCACGTGACAATCCTCACTGGGTCAGTCTACTGAGGAAGACCACAGTGATTGGTTAGAAGCTCTAGGTGCGCGAACTTTATTGTGTTGGATCTAAAATTTTAACTGGAAACAATACTCAGAAATGTTTACCTGTCCCAGTAGCAGTTCCACGATCTCGATGTTCTCGTTGTCCACTGCCATGGTCAGGGCGCTGCGCCCCACCATGTTGGTGACGTTGACGTTGACCGGGCTGGGCGGCTGGAGGCAACGCATGAGGGTCGCTTTGTCTCCCTTTTCAGCCGCCTCAAGGAACATCCGTTCTTTGGGGGTATACCTTCAGTGGTTAGAAAAGAACGTAAAGTTGTCTTGGTAAAATGTTAAACTCTCTATTCCAACACACAGCTTAAATAGAGATCAAATTTTTAGCGACCACTGTCGCCTTCATCAGGATAATTATTGACCGATCACATCAAAACGTAATATCGCGAGAGTTACGGTTAAAGACACGTGACCTTATTCACACGAGACTTTAATTATCCTGATGAAGGCAGTGGTCACTGAAAATGGGATCTCTGTTTAACCTGTGTATTGGAATAAAGCTCAACATTGTAACTATGAATATTACCAAGTAAACAAAGATGAACTTTCATGATAAACTTTTCTGCATTCTGTTTTAAGAAAGCTACGAATGTCATACTAATTGTAGGTAAATATTATAAGATTTCTCTCTATCATGTACACACACACACACACACAGCAGAAGGTATTCATCTGATAATTAATGTATTTCTGCAATATCTAGACACATCCTCTACAAAGGAAAGCGTCTGTAGGCGGAATTCAACACCCCATAAACCAGTGGTAAAGGCTCCGTCCCAGAGGTGTTTCCAAAAAAAGAATGGTTTCAACGGTTCCTATTATGCACATCCTAAGATGCGAAGGTAAGAAAAATGATCACCTTAAATTCTAGAAAGCCACATATACATGTTAATCGTTAAAATGTGCTTTACAGTATAATCTTTAATTTAATGCACTTATTTTATGAATCATCCAAGAGACTATAGTTTTAGTCTCACTGTTTCCCTGCAATCCTTAAATTTGTCATAATACATGCAATTTTAAGTCTCAAAACTCAGCCAGGTATATTTTCTATCGAGATAATCGAGGCCTTTTCAACATCATGGGTATCTTACACCAGTACTTTATATGATTAGTTGTGCTGTATCCGATTTGTAGATCTTTTTACATGTCTTTTTAATGTGGCGGTATTATGTTACCTGGAGGGAAGTATGTTAGTAATTGTTACAGTGATACGTATACACACACAGATGATTCTACACAGTGATAAAGTTTCAAAATCGTCCATCCAAATTAGGAAAAAAAAGGAAACCGTTTAGAATTTCGGCACTTGTTGTTAACCTAATAATACCAATATGGCTGGTAGTGTGAAATTCAGTGGAAACCCGAGTTCCCGTGCATTATTTAACGTTAAATGTCTGGCTGTCATTTCAGTTAGCACAAGCTTGCCACATTGTCAGGAACATATACTAGCATGATCTACAAATTAGAAATAAACAGGAGAAAGATTGCAATTCGTTACAACTCTCGTATAGAAGCTGATGTTAGAACAATTTGGTAAAGAATACTGCCCCCCTCCCCCACTCCAGGGCCGCTGTTACCTTCCCATCGGAGAGAACTCCCCCTGTCTCCGAAGCGAGCCCTCCCCGTGCCCCGGTGTACGCCTCGGGCTCCCGTGTAGCCGCTGCACGCTGAGGGATGATGTGCATTTCTGTGGCGATCTGTGCGTACTCCCTCCGCCTGACGGCACCGACGTCCCCCCGCCCGTCAGTCATGTCTAACCCGCTTCAAAAATCACCCACGACAAGATCCACGAGCTGCTGTTTTCCCGCCAAATGTGAGGCACTTTTCAGACGACAAGATCCACGAGCTGCTGTTTTCCCGCCAAATGTGAGGCACTTTTCAGACGACAAGATCCACGAGCTGCTGTTTTCCCGCCAAATGTGAGGCCATTTTCAGACGACAAGATTCACGAGCTACTGTTTTCCCGCCAAATCTAAGGCACTTTTCAGACAAGATCCACGAGCTTCTATTTTCCCGCCAAATCTGAGGCACTTTTCAGACAAGATCCACGAGCTTCTATTTTCCCGCCGAATGTGAGGCACTTTTCAGACGATATTTCCAGCTAAAGATATATATATGCCAGTAATGGCTACATTTTTGCACTGCGTGGCAGAACTAATATGCTCTCGCGCTCGTTTCATCCAGTAGTTTACGACTTGAATTCCGTGTTTTGTGTCAGCATGAAATATTAGTGACTCGACAAAACGGCTTCTTTTACAGCGAGTCCTGTATGGTATCAGTGTCGGCCTGCATTTTTCCTAATCATCTGGGTTATTTTTGTGGCATTAAGTGCATCGATCATATCCAAGCCGACTATCACATAGAACCCATATGTGGGAGAAAAACAAGTATGTCGGACTAAAGCTTCTATGGGATTAGATGAGCCTCTAGAAATGAGACATTAGAAGCATTGGTGTGCCTGTTTTCACAATGCTGCTTTTTCCTTCTTGTGGTGTATAATTACCTCCATGAAAAATGGAGGTATTGTTTTTGGCGCGTCTGTGTGTCTGTCTGTGTGTCTGTCTGTCTGTGTGTTTGTGTTTCCGCACATTTGTAGTCAGCATAACTTCAGAACGCCTTCATGGATTGTAATGATATTTGGTATGCTGGTAGGTTTTAGGAAGCCAAAGGTCAAGGTCAAATATGTGCCTCCTGGTGGCTGACCTTGGTACTGCAGCAAAACTTTTGTATTTTGAGGGAAAACAGATGTTCCGGTTAAAGACTTCCTCTAACGCAAAACGCGTGTGGTCAGGCAGCGCGCCTACCAGGTTTGATTGGTGATGTTCTCCCTCGGGAATAGACTACATGTATTGAGTTGACAGCCTGACCTATTTTAGGACAAAAACCTGTGTTATTTTGTTCTGTACTGTAGTGTAGTGTACCGTGTAAAAACATTTACAAAAACTTATGTATTTCATGGAGGTTTGAGTCTTGTTATGCTTTGCAAAGGGCCAAGGACATTAGAAAAACATTTGCAACGTGTTCCAATTTAATTATATTGGATATAAGCCTATCTCCTCTTGCTAGACAGTTATCATTGCAAATGATAACACTAGAGACTCAGTTCAGCACCAAGGACGGAGCCAAGAGTCCGTCCGTTATCTGTTTGTTGATTTAATGTGTGTGCGTTTTATGCTTGACTTTGGACAAGTATTGTGCAAATAAAATCTTTTAAAGGGACCATAAACCTTCCGCCTTTTCCCAAACTCATTTTTGGCATCAACAGACAACTTTTTTTGGCAACTGTTCAGGGGCGGAGGTATTTCTTACGGTAAAACTCAATTTCCTGTTTTTATACACATGGTCATAAAAAGACGATGCAGAAAGGGTGATGGAAAAATTAACAGGGAAACCTTGATTAGATAGTTTGTAAAAGGTTAGAAAGGCATAACATATAGGTTAGGCAAAATATGAGTAATTAATCCTACTTAAATATTTATAATTGTATCACACGACTGTATGTGACATATGATCGGTCTACTTACTTGTGGGTGGACTTGAAGAGTCTCAGGGACAAGGAAAAACCGGAAACTGCAGGTTTCTTGGCCAGGTCATACATGGAATAGCCCAATCTTCTTCCGCTTCCGGTATTGCCGACGTAGCCCTCTCTACCAAATCCGTGGGGACCCATATATAGATCCCTTCCGGATCCGGAAAACCCCACCGATGGGTCTTTTCCGGTTCCTGGGTACCCCATATTTGGGTCCCTTCCGGATCCTGGGTACCCCATGGTTGCGTCTCTACCGGTTCCGGGATACCCCATGGTTGCGTCTCTTCCGGATCCGGGGTGACCTGTGAATCCCTCTCTTCCATATCCGGTATGACCTATGTATCCGTCTCTTCCGGTTCCGGTTCCCTGTCCGTGCGCTTCCCTCTCGACAGAAGCACGTGACGAGGAGGACTCTTTCTTCCCGTCGGGTTCGTGGCGGTTTGGTTCCATTTTCGTCGTCTACAGCAGGCACCCTAATAGGGAAATACAAAATAGATTTTTTTTGCGTTTGATTGTAAACTGAATAACATGTTACAAAATGTATGTTTGCATGGCGTTCTTTTATCTTTGTAGTTGATAGTATATCTCGTATCTTCATTAAAAATCCAGAAAAAAGTCTTGTTTTAATGCATATTGACAAGCCAGCCAAAAAGAGAGAAAGTTGCACCAAGACTATGTTGTGTCCCAAACCATGCCTTGTCCCAAACCATGCGGACACACGGCGCGTGTCCCAAACCGTGCCTGGGGCAAATCTACATTCTGGGACACGCGGTCGACTATCCAGAACCGTATCTGACCGCACACAGTTTTGGCCACATATTATTTAAGCTTGTCCCATGCTAGGGGACTGAACATAGTTCTCATAATATGTGTCCCAAGCGAGTTTCTTTCTTGTATTAACTAGTCTCTGTATATTATTATCTAAGTTCGTATCGACCAAACATAAGACTAAGTTGTGAGAAAACTGCGTTTTGAAAGCACATGCTGTACACAGACTCGCAAATTCTCACGTAATCTAACCATATAAGAAATCGTGGGCGTGAATAAATATGCTTAGATTCCCGCCAATCACTATGATTGACAGCACTTCCGGGCACGGTTTGGGACAGTCAGGCTGTGTCCCGTTCTGTGCCCGCTCAGGCACGGAATGGGACGGGCACAGTTTGGGACACAACAACTATGCATATATACTATGTTGTAAACTGATCACAATATCCATCAGGCAGTTTTAGGCAATCATGGTCAAACCCCCAAGTGTATAGTTCAGCTGTTCAATTTTGGTCCATACGATAACAAAAGTGGAATGTAGAAATTATTCATCAGGTGTAATGGACTATGCTTGCCGCAAGGTGGCGTTGTACCGGCAAGGAGGATGCGGTCCCAAATGTGTCTTTGAATTTCTTTCGCCCCGAGGTGCGACAAAGACAAAGCTAAGACTCAAAAGATATTTGACGGTTAGAAACGGTGCACCAGCGCCAAGTGAATGTGATTGAACTGTCAATTTTGAATGAACTCGCAAACTGCCAATTTTTCACCCCGCGTTTCTTGTTGCGTGGGTGGAGATGGACGGCTCTTTATCGGCTGCGGTAGCTGATTGTTTTCAGAGCACATTTCACGGTCGTGCGGGTTAGAATAGGGGCCATTTTTCAAGCACCGTTGCTGTGTCCCCGAATGACCCTGCAGTCAAAAGTTGACTCAAATTTAACTCAAATCCGATGTGGTTCGTAACCTGGGAAAAGGCTAAGGAGGCAGCAGCCACTAGACCCAGATGGAAGCTTGCTGCCCAATGTAGGCACAGGAGGACCTATGCCCTGGAATCCAGAACTCGTTTTCCGGGCCGCAAGAGCCCTTCGCCCGCTGGTGTAAATTACCGCTACGGGGGAGTCTACCCCGGGGGGAGTTTGGCTGGCCCTACACCGAAAAGGGCCGGACAAACCCCTTGGGCTCAACTCCCCCGTAGCGCTAATTTAGGCAGGCGGGCAAAGGGCTCTCGGCTGCCGAAGGAAAACGGCTAACGGCCCGATACTAGTTTTGGCATCCAGGGTAGAGGAGCTAAGGTCTAAGGTAAGGTAAGAAAGGTAGGCGTCAGTCTGCTTCCGAACGTCGAGTCAGCAAACCTTGGTCGGCTGGTGTTCGGGGGAAGGTTCTGAATGTGTGACAGGCTCTCAAAATTCAGTTAGCTTTTAGCCTGCTTGGCCGTTTGGCACAAAATTTCTTACCGTTAGGCAGAAGGGATGTTTAATGTTTGATGTTTTATTAGATATCCATTAGATAACAAATCTAATCTATTCTTCCTGGATTCATAAAACACAGAGTACACAAATGTAATACAAATTAAGGCACATAACATTACATAACATAACACCTGCATCCATTAGACTACAAACTAGCATAAAACTACAAAGCAATAAACAATAACAACTACAAAGCAACACGACATTACCAGATCGCTTTTGGGAGGTCAGAGGTCGCATACAATGATAATATATACAGCTTGCTTGTACCAGTACCTTACCACCAGTGCTTTAAGGGTTTGTATGTATCAGTCTATCAGTTTATGATGTTCTTGAATAGTGTTGGTGTGGCTGACCTGGAATGTGGTGTAAGATTGTCGTGAGGTTTTATACATCTATAAACAAAGTTCTTTCCATTGCGGTTGTCTTCGGTTTAGGCAGTCTTAAGCCACCTCCTGTCGCAAGTCGGGTGCTATGGCCATGAGAATTGTCTATTCGTTGTAACCTGTCGTAGATCACTTCTGGTTTTTCAGCTACCAAAATTTTATTGAACATCATTAGCGTGTTTTTGTATAGTCTTCCTTTCACTGATAGCCAGAAGGGAGAAGGTCAATGGACTCATAACAATCTTGAAGCAGAAATTTTTGGTAATATATTTCACTTTCCCAATTGCGGGCAGACAATTAGATGTTCGCAATCTTTCAGGGTTGGGAGGGGTCGCCCACTCAGCTCACACAGTGACTTTGAGGTATTGGATATTGTACACGATATTTATCTTCCCGCCCATGGTGTCATTTCAAATTTAGACATCATCGATCATTTTTGCGTCGACCTTCAACTTCAAACATGGTGTGCATCTTAGATTCCAGGAAAGAAATACAATGGTGTGTTAAACGTACTCTCCAAGCAGAGGTTGTGGGGAAATGATCGTTACATTTTTATATATGGCCGTTTTTTTTTTGGTCCTGACCCCCACCAATCTGGCCGC